TCAAAAACCAATAGGAGATTGTAGTGGGAGAGTTGTTACTATGGCCCCTTTTTGATTTTCTAATTATTCATTAGTACATATTTTGTGTCTTCTTTCTGTTAGCGAATTTCATTTAATGATTTCTTCACTTTGTTATTAATTTTTCTCGTTTTTGTTTTTCGCATCTAGTTTCTCGAACTATTGTCCATATAATTCTTTTAAATATACAGTCGTTTTATCTTTTGCTTTTCAATATTCGCCTTAGTCTTATTTTTAACATTTGTGCTGCTTAATATTTCCATAGATTTTTCCATTCATTTCATTCTCCTTATATTGTATTCAATGTTTTCCATGAAATGCAATTTTGAAAGATGACAATATTTCATACGGATACGTGCCGAAATTTACATCGACTAATGTTATCCTCCATGAATACAAGGCTATCTGTGTTTACACATGGCGACGTATTACCTGTAAACATTGTATAACATTTGTACGAGTCTATTTTCATGGTTTCTACACATGTTATCAACTCGATGTAGCCATAGTCACGAGGTAGTTCATGTTTTCTTCGCTTTTGCTTCGAATTCAACCCTAAATTTATGAAATATGTTTTCAAACTTTCACCTTATCCTTTAGAAAACATTATTTTTGCTTAAGAATGAATCTCAAACTTTGTAACACCAACTACCCATGATTTCGAAATAAGTTTATATGTCGTATGTCATATTTATATTACGAATGGTTCAGCCACTGCACCAAGTGAGTTCTTCTCAATACATGATTGATGGTTGACGTTTCATTTCCTGTTAACCTCAAGTTATAGGACACACATTAATCGACATCATCCTGACCAGGTTCCTTCAGTATTTTAACTGGAGCACAATTACTGAATCATGGTGCATCTCCCTTAATCGGTTCAGGACATTTCCACCGACAATGATTATCCACTCAGGATTGATGGATATTATGGTGAAAAAGAAACAGATGATAATAATATCCGACATATTAAAGTAGAGTCACAATGTAGTTTCCACAACCAAAGACAGTTGCCTACTCACTGTGAACAATTATAATGGTCCCCCTGCACTATTTTCACTTCATTAGTTGTATTAATTAAATGACTCGCTCATCCGTGGATAATAGCATAAGTCAATCTGACATGGTCCTCGTTGTCCACTCATTAATTCATGAGGTGCATCTGTGAGACTGTCCGAATCAGCAGATCAGACAGCATTGTATATTTCGAAAAAAAAACGCTGAGCTAGAGAAAACAAAATATCCGTATATAGATGCAGGATATCGAAGTTGATCACACAAATCAAGAGACAAATCTGTAGATGAAATTCTAGGAATTGCTCTCAGGTGAATTTGATGCAGTACCCAAGCCGACTGCAATCATTACATAAGGCAGAACAAGTAAACTACCAACGAATCCCATTTTCCTGAATAATTTTAGCTACGCTTTTCAGACCCTGCGCTCTTCTGTAATGGTTGGTGAGCGAATCATATGTGAATCGCCACCTATTGAACAATGCATGCATGAAACTACAGTGTATGTTGAAGAAGCTTTCCAAAACGTTTTCCAAATTCTATCCTGTCATTTTTTTCTTTCTACTTCACGGATTGGATATAGCTATAACATGAATTCCAACCCTCACATCAATAGACACCACCGAATCAGGTAGGGATATTTTCATTGACAACTACAACTCAGCAGGGGTAGGTAACATTATGGAGATGGGGGAGGAAATCTCACTTATGTCAGAGTCAAAGAAAAGCGAAAATGTCTCTCAATACACTTTCCATTTCATAACTCGAATCAATACCTCATCATTTTGCAAGCGTATTCGGCCAGCGTCGTCCATCTTGATTCACAATCTGGTTGTAGTGATCCGTGAGACTTGTCATGAGATGAACGTTTTGCATCTCCATTGCTGCTTCCTTTTGGCCGATCTGCTGGCAGTGATGGAACTTGACCCTCACATCGACCTACTACGCTAGTCTGATGAAGACTGCTATCTCTGTAGGTGCTGTCATTATGACCAGTTTGTTTGACAGTGTTTAAAAAATCGAGCTACTTTCGTGTACACAAGCTCGAGGATCCGAACTGCTGCAACGGCGCATGAAAGCTGTATTGGTCACCGGGGGCCATGAGATCTCAGCCAGTAACGCTGCTCCGCTTCTTTGAGAAAGGAACTCCTATTCAAATGCTTAGGTGCCTTGATGTCGGCACCTAGGCAACATTACTCAAACTTGCAATAAAATTGAACAATGAGCAATGAAGAAATCTAATCTGTCGCTCATGCTCTAGATCAATAGTGATAGTTCAAGTTAGAAATTTATTTTTACCCTAATTTGACTCATTTGACTTTAGTGTATTAGTGTTGCGTTTCTTGTTGTTTTCAACTTGGTAAGCCTCACAACTCTATCTCAGTTCTCAGCCTGTCTTTTACGTTTTGAGATAACGGTGAGTAGTCTTCAAAATGCCCATGTCCAGTGCGATATCTAACACCGATATCCTGAAACCACGTGTCATGTTCAGATTGGCCATGTACAATGTTCATACGCTTGTTGAGATTGACCAGCAATAAGTTCTGATGAGAATATTGAAAGCCTCGCTGTCGATGTATTCTGCATTTCGAAGACCTGCATTCAAGATCTCAGTGAAGTGATAAGTATGCATTGTCTATCTGGAATTCTGAATAGTTTGTACTGAGTCTGCCTATCCAGCGATGTTTTGACACTGAGATCGGTCGTACTTCGTGCTTCTATGGCGCTGATAATCAGTCAATGCATTTCAGGTGGAATTAGTAGCAGCGCTTAGCCCTGCTATCGCATGCCAACCACGTGTGGTAAGAAGGAATATGTCAGTGAGACGGACAATAATGCAGATGGAAGGTGAATTACGTATCTGGAACGGCGATTAGTACGCTGGATAGAGTACATTCAGCAACCATCTAGTTGACCACCAGCGCCAGCATCCAACATAATCAGCTACACTGTTCGCTGGTGGGTCAGTACCGACCCATCGGTCGACACAGAGAACTGGAACGCAGTGCAAATAGGCACTGGACACCCTTCCCATACACCCTACCCCACATCTCCTCAGAGACGGTGGCGGGATTTTCGTCACGGTTTCGACTGGATTGTTCAGGAAATTATAAGAAAGCGAGAACGTTCCAGCAATGTGGAATAAAGCAGTCAGTGTCTCCATCTTTGAATATTTCGACATCACACTTGCGACAACTACAGCGGTATAGGTTTGCTAACGATTTTGTCTAAAACATCGGCTGCTGTGTTCACATTTTATCATATATTATTATGTCAGTCGATGAATGTGACCACATACTGAGAATTCATGGCAGGCTATGACCAAAATCACGCAGACGAATAATAAAAAAGTGCAAGAATTTCATTTAACTTCGAAAACACCCCATCAGTCAATTCATTATAAGGTGAAACATCATTGCATCAGATGAATCGACTGCTTATCATACGATATTTCCATTAACTCGCGTTGAGACACGAGATTGAGAGTTCAAACTCTTATTGCAGATAAACTCAATTCAGTCAGATATCGTTGTCGAAAACTTTATAAATGTAAAAAGGACCTACTAATCTTCTCCTTATTCATCTTAATCACTTTTCCAGGGCTTGTGCCAGGTAAGTTCATGATTCTCTTGTGTTTAACTGCAATTGATACGGGTTCATTTGTGTGTGCAGTGATCCTCGACAATTTCATTCAAAGCGCTCGTTAGCAGGGAGGTAGTTTCAAACGATTCAATAATGATTAATATGAGCGTTTTAACAATCTTTTTCAAGTACAGTTGTTTAACGAATGATGTTACTATGACGTTTAAGATGTACATTAATGTACCTCATCTGGATCCGGTTCTGTCAAAACTAAACGAGAAATGAGGTGTGGTAACTGTTGCTAGGGCGAACATTTGTATTTCCATTCTGGTCTCCATAGCATCCATCTGACCTGAGAAATTTGCTGATTTGTGCACGTAACTTCACCATGTGTTCAAGGGACTTTCCTAATTCATGTCTTGAGTATTTACCAAATCTGTCTTTGTCAGACTCCTTCTATTGCGTCAATGTTTTCTTTCTACTTCACTGATTGTTCCAGCTCGCATAACATCAATTCCAACCTTCACAACAACAGACCACACTGACTCCGGAAAAGGATATTTTCATTCACGAATAAAACATATGCGGGGAAGGTTGACGTCATGGAAATACAGTAGGAGGGTGAAATTTTACGTATATCATATCCTATGAAATGTGACACACTGTTATTACCCTGCACTCTGCTAAGTCATCTACTCACTTCGTAGTAAATAAAAAGTCTCTACCTCCAAGTCCTGTTTTAGAATTTGAGTCGTTATCTTGTCAAACTTCACATCTATTTAGAAACGCATGAACGTAGCAAAGATAATTGTCAATAATGTGGCACCACCACATGATCGTTATCAGTGGTAACTGACTTCATCAGAAATCATTGGTTGTGTGGTTATTATCAGTGTATGGTTAATCATATACGTTGCCAGCCTCTTGTTGTAGACTTCATCAGACTTCAGTGTGTGTGGCTGTGTTGTGAACTCAAAATTTAGCCCATTGTTTGCCTGGCGTCAACTCATACACAACCTTGAAAGATATTCCGAATCGCTCTCAGATGACTTTGTCATTGGTGTTGGTTCAGATAGTAAATCTGTCTGTAAGTGGAATATCTTATCTTCCTATTTTCACTCGTCTCTGGTGTTCTTCCAATTTCGGAGGAAACTGTGAGTAGCAGCTGATGCACTGCCAAATAACAAGCTCTGGCATACCCCAACAATTTGTTCTATCTCACCAGAATTCCCACATCATCATGACGATCGAAGCATACAACAATCCTCATATGTTGACAGCAGACAGTGCCTTGATGACTTGTTGTGACGAAATTAGACAGTCGATCAGATGACATGGGTATTTACAACTTCATCTCTCCTCAACCACTCCTCATCAGTCAATTCATCATAAGGCGCGACAGCATTGCATCAACTAAATCGACTACATTTCACACCGTATTTCCATTAACTCTTGTTTACACAAGAGATTGTAGGTTCAAGCCGTACTTGAATTTCTACTCAATTTATTGTGACATGTTTGTTGTGTGCTGTGTAAATTTCTGTGACTAATTTGAATAAGATCCTTCATCGTAAGCAGTGGAATGCTGGAATCTATAAGGTGAAATAATGTACGCACTACTAACCTTCTTCTTATTCGTCTTAATAATTTTTCCAGGGCCTGTGCCAGGTAAGTTCATGATTTCCATGTGTTTATTTGCAATTGTTTAAGGTTCGTTTGTGAGTTTATGTATTTACTGATTTTTCTGTGAAATTAGTACGACATCTTTTTTGACTGTTTCCGAAATAAAATGCTACTCGACTTCACGGCTTTGAGTGACATGCACTTAGGCTGTAAGCAGTGGTATATCCAGGACATAAGTGAGGCTGCATAATTTCCTCTAAGAATAGTAACTGGCACCATGTCGGACAGATATGATAATTATTCAGTTGTATACTAAGGAAAACAGACTGCTTCTCTTAGGACTGCCAATGCTCAATGCATTTAATAACATGCAAGTTTGCGACGAAATAAAATGGGAGTCAAACCGAAAGTCCTCCATCTCACTTTTCACTTCCGTCAATCAGGTATTACTCTCATTTACTGTTACCTCACAACTGATGTTTCTGTAGCGATAAGCATAGTATCTCTTCCTGCGTTTATTGACTAATTGCACACTAACAGTCATTTAACAGTGAGGCCTGAATGCTAAACGAGATAAGGTCAACGGATTGCCTCACAAATGTTATTTAGGGTTAGAAATGCTTACAAATATACAGCACAAATGTAAGGAAGAGGCATGGTTATAGAGTGGAATGGAAATCTCTCTCTGAGTCGGGATTGGTCATAATAAGGTTAAAAAATCAACAGCAGCAAAAAATGAAGCCATTATAAATCAATGAATGTGTGGTTATTATCTGTGTGCTTCATCATATAGGTTGCCAGCCACTTGTTGTAGACTTCGTCGGATTTCAATGTGTGTGTGTGTGGCTGTGTTGCGTACTCATAATTTTGCAGATTGCTTGCCTGGTGTTAGCTCATAACCTTGAAAGATATTCAGAATCGCCTTCAAATGACTTTGTCTAAGGTGTTGCTTCAGATTATAAACCTGTCCATGCAATCAAAGCTAGTCTCCCCGAGCAAGATATAACTCAAAATTAGGGGAAGTTGAACTTATCCGATAGGCGTAGATGCTTAACCGGATGTCCTCAGCTAGACAAGTTGAGTTAAACAGTGGGAGTCAGCATTCAATGATCAGTGATGAGTGCTGTGACCAATGAATTTAGGGAAGTTTTCACCACTGCAACATCAATTAGTAATGCGGGCGTGCCTAACATCGTGGGAAAAGAGGATGAAATTTTACTTATGTGAAAGCCAATGAAAGGCGAACAATTTATTTGCCCATTTAGGACTATTAGAGACGTCTCTAACTACACTTCCTATTTCGTAACTGGAATCTACACCCCACATAATCATCATTATTTTACAAGCATATTGAGCTAGCGTAGACAGTTGTCCATCAGGTTTCAAAAACTCAGTGGTGGGATCAGTAGTCTTTGGAACTATCAGAGATGAAGCTTTAGCAGCAGTATCATGTGTGGTGTTTTACATCTCCATTCCTGTTTCTCTTGGTCGATCTCTTCTCTGTCGGCGAAGGTCGGTGTTCCCACACACAGATCTAATTTGCTGACCTGTTGGGGACTGATATCTTCGTAGGTGCTATCATGCCCAAAAGTCTTTTTGAAATTATTCTCGTGTTCTCTCGATGTTGTAAGTAACTGTGACTAGTAGCTGGTGCAAAGCCAAACAACGAGATCTGCCACTCACGAGTAAATCCTCCTATCCCACTTAAATTCGCACATCATCATGTCAATCGAAGCACAGAACAATTCCCATATTTTGTCAACAGTTTGTGATTGGCTATCATTATGTCAGTGAAAGCGATCGATGCTCCCATGCAATCGAAGCCAGGCTCCTACAGAAAGATACAACTCAAAATTAGGGAAATTAAAAGATATTCAATGCTTCACACTCACAAACAACTCAGAACAATATTAAGAAGGCAGAATTCCACGCAAAACTTCAAACAATATTGAACAGTGTCCTAATTGTGAACATCGAAATCCTAATGGGTGATATGATTGTTGAATTGGTGGCGTGAAGAGAGTACATCTTGCTAGGAGACTCTCTTGTTCGACTGAATGAATAATCGCACGGAAATATTCGCAGACTTCTTAGTCGTCAGTGATATGTTGGTTTAAAGTAGCTTATATAAACACTACGATATGCATAAAGCAACACACACAAGAAAAACTTAACAGACTTGATGGCGCTCTCGAAAGTGGAGACACATCTTGATGGATACAAAATTGAGAAATGGAGCATTTAGGTCTGAAAGCTTCATCTTATTGTAGTAAACCTAAAAGTCCGGCTGAAAACCTTTAGCGGAAACGGAGACAGACAACAATACAAGTTTCACAGTCAGAGATAACATTACTGCAGATATCGCAGCAAATTCGTAGACACTAAGTATGACCACTGAAGAGACCTGAGAGCAACACAATTTTAGCTTTCTGGAGTTTCTGCTGGTGGCCTGATTAAATCCTGGGCTACCGAAATTCATCCACCACAATATGGGATCTAATTTCTGGTGTTCAATTTGTTTCAACATATGAATGCATTGAAATTGTAGCGGTAAATTATTCCCCAATCGTATTGTTCACACTAGAAAAATCTCAAAATGCTAGAAACCTACGGGATCGCAAATTTTCGTCGGACTAAAAAAGCACAATTTCTGGGTGGCATGATGATTTAAAAATTATTTCAATACATCTAATAACCGTTCCAGATAAAATTATGTGTATGCAGTCCCTCATGTTTTAAATGTGTATCACAATTCTGGTATTGTTACATTTGAAGAAACCTGACTCCGTGCCCTATACGATGATAATTTGGTCTGTCTTCATGGTTTCTAATTATTCAGATAAGATGGAAAGAGCTCTTTGATAGAGAGGTGTTAGCTTTGCAGCATTCTTCGACTATCATCGGTGTATTTCAAATAATGTATGTTATGGATTCTCTAGTGACAAAGTTGACTACGGTTAGTTTACAACATTTAGTCATGAAAATGTGGCCAAATTCTCAATACGACTTGAAAACACTTTAATCTATTGTTTACAAAAGACTTCGGCACATATGGAGCGGGAAAAGCAGCGAAACTACAGACCCAGGAACACAGAATATTAAGAATTTACCGAAGCAGGACAAAATGACCATTTTGAGTCTTATCAACAAAACAAAAATAGATGTGATCCACTTGACAAAATAAACAGTGCTGGAAGCCCAATATAAGATGCAAATTTGTGAATGCACTGATCCTTCATATTTTCATGGAAATATAATGTCAACCCCACAACAAGCGGCATCGCTGATGGCCGTCAGCGGACACATGGAAAATAAAATGTGGAAGAACATTGAAGAAACAGAGAATGGACTGATAAAAGGATGCAAAACAGAAGGAGAACCTCAGCTCAAAGTCCACTACACATAATAGAAAATTGAACTGGGTCGGAGGAAAAACACGCTAAAAATCGTTTGTCCACGACAGCATGCGAGTTCATGGAATCCACGCATTTCTTCTGAAAGCAGTGTGATATCACTGTCGACTGCTCTGTGAAATTCACCATCATTATATCTGACGACGTTTTCTGACGGAATCATTCATTGAACACAATGGAATCTTAAAACGCATTGCTTGAAAATTTATATTGAAGGATAATCCTGACATATATGTCTTTCCTCATTTCCAGACAATTCACCGAGTGAGTTGAAATTATTCTTGTCTTTATTTGCAATTTATTCGACTTTGAATAAAGCAAGAATGTCATGTGTTTGTGGATAATCTGAGTTGAATTTTTATTCTCAACTTCTCAACTGGATACAAACTGAACAATAACAAAAATTATTAATTAAATTCAAGATGTGAGCTTACGTTTTAACAGTGATAAGGAGCAATTGATTGGAACTTAGGTTGATAGCATTGGTCAGGAATGGTGTAAGTGGATGCAGTGATCCTCGCATTTTCCATCAAAATTTCCTGCCAACTATTGAAATAATCGAGTAAATAAATGATGATTATTGTGATTGTCTTAACTCTCTCTTCTCAATTGTGAGTTTCGCCTCACGATATTACTTCGCTGTTGGAGGCATATGACTTCACACTTTCTCGATCTTTGTTGACTGTATCCGAAATGAAATCCTGCCCAACTTCCCTCTTCTGTTAGATATATACGTACACTGTAAGCAGTGATATATCCAGCTCACATCTCAGATAATATAAATGCTTACAGTGTTTACAACTGTCTTCATGTCCAACCGATTTGATAATACGTCAGTCGTATATTAAACAAAACAGACTACTTGTCTTAGAGGTGTTTCTACTCAACGCTTTTATTTCGTACAAGCATGAGTATCTTTTGACAAAAAAATACGCATCAGCTCAAAATTTTTCATCTCGGAATATCTTCTTTCATTCAGGTTTAACTCTCACTCTCAGTTCTTGATTTTTATTTCCACTCATATCATGGGCTTCTATTATTAGTTTAGGTCTTTTTGAGCACTGATTTACTTTTTTCATTTTCACAGAATCCATTAGGTTGATTTTCAGAATTTAGAACTAGTATTTCTGAAACTTCTTCTGTGATGACATACAGATATAATGATATCTGATCATTTCTTATGTGCGCATTCGATTCGCTATTGTTTCATGTCCGCGTATATCTAGGGAACCCGTGACCGAATATTTTTACCAAGATGCGCATACTATTATCTCCTTTGTCATCAGAAATCGTCTAATTTAAAGAAATATTATTTTGTGAGATAATATGATTACATCAGCACAGCTACATAACACCTCATTCAAAAATATGATGCTGATTTTTACAATAGAATATGATTTGATTGTGTAAATAGTGGTCAAAAAAGAGTGAATATTCTGTATAATTTGTGACGAATGAATGTCACAATGTGTACACACGTATTAACTGTGATTTCGTCACCATCACAATTTAGTCCATGTTTCCTGTGCGTTTGTTTCAAAAGACACAGGAAATGTGTAAAATGTGCTAACAAATCTTCACCTTAGTTCTATTTAAACCTTGTTTCAAGACGTCAGAATACATCATCAACCGTGCAATACCAACAGCCTACACTTGAAATCTCAGTGACATAGTAATTTGCACGTGTTTGTTTTACCTCCGCTAAAGCTACTATCACATGTGAGGTTGCATATACGATGTATCTGTTTGGACATTAGGAGTTTATATGGCACGAGTGTTGGTAAATGATCATTTCAACTCCATGAAACACACATTTTGTGAATTAAGGATACATTCTCAGGAGTTTTACATCATCGATGCGTTGGTGGCACAGCGGCAGAGTGCTCGCCAACCACGGCTCGTGTGGTCCGAGTTTCGGCCCTCGGCCAACGCACTCCTGTACCTCGCTAAACCAGTAGTAAGACTGGTTGAGGGGGAAGGTTATGCATGAGGCTAGCAATCCCATCCTGTAAAAATAATCATCACTATTACAGAAACTTCAGGCCTCTAGTTTGAATCCGTATGCTTCACTGGGAACGTGAAGTAATAAAAAAAACTTATCTTGTAGATGAATACAATAATAATGTTAATATATCGATATTACGATATAGTCATATTTGTGCGTCCATACTTAGCCTTTCCCTTTTTCTGAAAGCTAGAGAAAGATACTAAAGTTTATAAATCGCGCTTATTTACATTTGGCGCTCATTATTCAAGACATAATATTGTTGTATTCGTCAACAAACGTAAAAATTAGTGATGTTGTCCAGGAGAAATTTAAATCAAAACAATTACACCGAAAGCAGCTATGCAGCTATATTGGTGCATTAAATTCTCAAATTGGGAACTTTAATCCATAATGTAAAGAACCTAAATATCAAACATGATCATGCATAAGCTGGTGACAAGGCAGTTAGTAGGAATAGGCGTTTGTGGTTTCTTGGATTTGATTTGACTTAATCACCTTGAAGCACATTGACTGATTTAAGCGGATGCTTGTGAACTGGGAGATGCATTGCAGGTCTAAATTTTGCGATCAACTTGTCTCTGTACTTGTTTTCACACTCACTCGTTTAAACCATATTGATTTCCCTGTCTTATTCTTGCTTTTTTCTTTTAACATTTTCACTTTCATTCGTTTACGGTTGACTTTCATTTATACGCATATGCATGTATGGTTGCATTTATCTCTTCTGTTTTCTACATCAACTCTAGTGATCTTTTTTGTGATTTCTGCCTACTTTGTGAAATTTTTTGGTTGTCTGGTTCAGTCTTACGTAGGTGTATATTTTCCCTCAGTATTTGTTTATATATATATATATATGTTTTATTATTATTATTTAGTTTCGAGTGATGTTCCCGAAGTAGCTCCTACCGCTGGTGGTGAGTTCCTGATTATCCTTCAGATTTTCGCAGTATATTTATTGTCATACTTCGTTGTTCTGGTCATCTTTTGAATGTTAAGCATCATCGAATCCATTAGGATACACTCTGCAAACACATTGACATTCACGCGTTTTCACTGTCTGCCTTTCAGTCATCACTTACAGTGACTTCCTTATATTTTCTTTTATGAGGAATCTTTAATTCTGGTTTCACATTCAGTGATACTTTCATCTGTCCTTGGTAGGAGAATGATTTGAGAAACCGATGACCTGTTTACTTCAACTTGATAGGGCTATTATATTTTTGTCACTGATGAAATACAGTGGTGAAAATAAAGAGAAATATCTGTTTTACTGTCGAATTCGATGAGTTATTTTCCGAACTAGTTTTGTTTAGTGTAATCTCAGCTTCAAATAAAAGTAACTGCTTTTAATTTATAGGTTTGAAACTTCAGCCCACCAAATGATTTGAAAATTGAAGGAAAATTATTGGGCGCAATACAAGCAGTAACCTTCAATTTAAATATATTATTATTTCAAACATTTAGGTTATAGTGATGTGAGTTCGGATATTTTGTGTTTTGATTGGAATGCTGAAGGCTTTATTAACTTCACACTAATAGACTTTTGTCAGTTTGATGATAGGGTATTGACAAAATAAACTTAGAATCTCATTCTGATTACTTAGGAGCAATGTGCATTGATTTGACAGCAAGCAAATCAAGGAAGAAAGCCGCACAACTTTGCCGGTTAGAATTCATATCCATATACATTTTGTCATATGCATTCACTTTAAACTCGCTTTAAACGCCTCTAAGAGACCGCTGTATATTCCACTACGGTCACTGATGTTTCACATCAGCCTATATACACTAAGGTATACATTTGAACACTATTCACTCACAAGCACTTTCCCACATTTCTAATACTTATGCAAGCCTGTAAAAATGGCGTGTTCCCACATAGACAAGAATATATATATATTTATTTGAAGGACAGTAAAATAATGAAGTAAGGAAAGTTAAAAATATATAATTCAGAAATTACATTTTTATTAGAAACGGATAGTAGCAAATGAAGTGACACATATCAAACGTTCTCTTCGGAAAACATTTCATTGTCTGATAAATTTTCCATTTCAGTTCATTATAGCACTCGCTTTGTCTGCTGGTGTGTGTGTTTTGTTCGTCGGTTTGATCTATATAATGTAGCTGAGTTGCTGTTCAAATGAAACTCACACCACAAACAATCGTCATTAACATATTATTACCGTAAATCTGTTCACCTATATATCATTTTGAAACGTTAATTTCTTAATTTGAGCATCAATATTCATTCATGATTAATGAAAAACAGTTTTATTCGGAGAATAACTATTCTTATTCAGTATTGTAATTTACAAGCCTCACACGAGTATTTAGACTACGGATAGATCTACCAGGCTGTACATAAGACTACTTAGGAAATCTATATACAGTAAGCATCAAAATCACTGAAATGGGTTATTGAGAGAGTTGGGTTGAAGTGGATGAAATTTTAGGTTTTCAAAGATTGGTACCTATGTAAATCAGCCTAAGGACTTTTGGAATACGTTGAAGAAATCAGGCGTGCAATGATGATGACAATAATGGAGGCAAAGAAGTAGTGAATTGAGATGGACTGCTCGACAAATGAAAGTGAAAAGAGATTTCTATTATCAAAATAAAGGAAGGGATTTAAGGCGAAGATTTTATAAAGATGACTAAGCCTTCTCACTTGTATAGCTAGAACTTTGGCTTAACATACAAGTGATAAATCCCATGACTCTGTATGCCTCGACTCAACACAGTGTTAACACACAGTCAAGTTCGTCTTCTTATGTCCAAACAGTTTTTCAAACAAACTTGGTTTTGTTAAGCTACGTACCACCGGAAAATGCTCTTACAACGTCTGTTTCAAACCATCAAGTGAAAGTGTAAATTCGTACAGAGGTGAATATAATCGATAATCTTTTCTCTATGAACTATCGACTAACAATTCGCCGAAGGTATGTGTACTAATTTATTGTAATCGTAGTATTAGTATTTCGAGATGACCGAATTATCAGAATCCAACCAAAACACAGAGATGGCGGAATTCAGGAATTTGTATTCAGCGAATTATATTTTCAATTCATATAGAAATATTAACAATCAACAGTAAGTATTTAAACAATACAGAGATAGAAATAGTCAATCACCACATCCGCCACACGTCGAATGTCTCCTTGCGTATTTATAATGATATCGCGGTTTGCTTGCCAGTCTCTGCGATCTTCTAACTGATTCTGTGATATTATTTCCATCAGTATCATCTAGACTTATTTCTGAATTATCTACAAAGTCAGGATTAGTAGCGGAGTCATTATAATCATAATCGGAACGACCTACCTCATTTATTCTCACTTGATCCAAGTGTCTGTTATGAACTGAATTATCTTCGATGTCTAATATCTTCACCATTCGATTTCCCATTCTTTGTAGTATGATACCAATAGAAGGTCTATAATCATTCCCTCTGTAATAATGTACATCAGAAGTCGTGGACATCAGATGCTTTCTGAGAATTCGAGATTTGAATAGTTTTGCAGGACTTTCATGAGTACTTGTATGCTCCGCATTGCGATATTGAAGTAAGAAGTTATCCACACATCTCTCTAGCTCATCAAGATTTTGAGGACTCATTGATGCTATAGCACTCTTTAATGTTCGTACAAAATTTTCTGCCAACCCGTTTGACTGAGGATGACGTGGTGCTGTGTACAAATGACGACAACCTATATGTTTGAGCCAATCATTGAAGTTCTTCTCCGTAAAATGAGTACCATTGTCAGTAACTAAGACATCTGGAATTCCTTCTCGACTAAAAATCTTTCTCAACGCTCTGTGAGTGAATTTGGCATTAGGACTATCTGTAATGATGACTTCTGGCCATCTAGAATAAGAATCCACAATAACTAAAGCATAATATAAATTTAAGAATGGACCACAGTAATCTGCATGAATACGCTGCCAAACCTCACAAGATGCAGGCCACGGTGTCCACGATGACTTCCCATAGGACATTTTATGTAAACAGCTAGAACAGCTCTTTGATCTTTTGTTAATGTCAGCATCAATTTCCGGCCACCAGCATGTTAGGCGTGCTAATGATTTCATCTTATCAGCTCCTAGATGAGCAGAATGTAGATCATCCAAAATCGCAGATCTTAATGTTGGAGGAATAATAATTCTGTCATTCAGACATAGAAATCCTTCAGGATGGACTGAAATCTCATCTCTTCGCTTATAAAAGTCTGGAAATCTTCGCTTACACTGAACATTCCAACCTCTTTTTGTTGCATTTATAACGCATCCGTAATATTTCCGAGTATCATTTATAAGTCGAACTCGATCCACCGGTAACGGCTGGACTAATAAGCAATCAGTATCATTAGCAGCATTTTCAAATAATGAATAACGAGATAAGAAGTCTGCATGAGGTATATCCTTTGCCGATCTATGTTCAATAGTGTAATCATATGCACTTAGTTCTAAACTCCATCTTTGAACCATAGCAGCAGATGATTTATTCAAAGATTTTTCTGGATTGTAAATGAATTTCAAAGCTTGATGATCAGTAACTATGTGAAACTTAGTACCAAAGAGATACTTGTGCAAGCGTCTTATTGCCCATACAACTGCTAGAGCTTCTTTCTGGGTTTGTGAGTACCCTTGTTCACTCTTACTTAGACGTCTTGAAATACAAATAACAGGTTGTCCATTTTGCTCAAGTACTGCAGCTATACCCATAGGAGAAGCATCTGTAGTGAGAACAGACTTATCTTTCGACAAAAAAGGTCTTAGAAAGCTTGTTTATTAAGAAACTCCAAAGTTTTTCGCAAGATATTCTCATGTTGTTGTTCCCACTTAAACTGTTTACTGGAGACAATCTCAAAAAGTGGAGATAACCGTTGAGTGAAGTTGGGAATGAATCTGGAGTAAAACTGAAGAGTACCTATCCATGATCTCAACGATGACATATTATTAGGTGACGGTGCTTGAATTAGAGGTGCCAAACGACTAGCATCAGGTCTGAAACCTTCGGAGTCTACTGTGTATCCCAAGCATGATACAGACGACAAAGTGAAATGACATTTAGATGGATTAACAAGAACATTATTCTCACATAAACGCCTGAACAGTTTTAAAAGACGTTCATTATGCAATTCGATATTAGGACCATGAACTATAATGTCGTCTTGGTATGACTCAACACCATCTAATCCATCTATCATCTGATTTATTACATTTTGAAATATTGCAGGTGAAACCTTTAAACCAAAAGGCAAGAACTTATACTTGAACAATCCAAATGGAGTATTAATGGTTGTTAATGCACTAGACGCCTCATCAAGAGGAATTTGCAAATAGGCATCTTTTAGATCTATTTTGGAAAAGTATCTTGAGCCATGTAGCTTGTAGAGAATGTCTTCAGTTTCTAGAGTAGTGCAACTTTGCTGTAGTAGACGACTATTGAGTGTAAGGCGGTAGTCACCACAAATTCTAGGTGTTTTTCCATCAGCCTTTAGTGGCGTAACAATAGGAGTAGCCCAATTTGAAGACTCAACTGGCATAAGTATGCCTTGCTCAACCAACTTGTCTAACTCTTTCTTAACTGCATCTCGCAATCCATATGGAATTAATCGGCGTTTCAGGAAGATAGGATCACCCTCTATTTCAAGATGGATGGGCTGAATCTTCATACCACCTACACTCTTTGAACATTGGAGAAGTAATTCTCTGAACAAAGATTCATCAAACAACTCAGTACAAAGTGAGATTTCGACATTTAACAATCTAAGGGCTTTTAATCCCAATAAAGATGGACCATATTCACTAACAAGAAAGGGAATATTTACAAAATTACCACTGTCTGATTTCAAAGAAATGTTAGTAGCACCGATAAGAGGTAATTTATGACCAGTTATGCCTGTAATTGAACTAGTAGTAGGGTCTATCTGGACATTCTTACAAATCGATTGTAAATCTTTCTTAGAAATTATAGATTCAGTACTCCCAGTATCAATTATAAAACAATGGGACTTGCCTGAACTTGTAGTGAAGGTTCTCATTAGATGAGATTGAGTATTGGGAAAAGTTGAAAGAGACATCGACTGCATTTTACCAGATAAATTGGAAGAATTATCAGGATTCTGAGTAACATAAGTATTCGAACTTCTGCAAACAGTCTTGATGTGTCCAACTTTACCACATTTGTGACACTTAGCACCCCGAAAACGGCAAGTGCTTCGTAGATGTAACTTTCCACAGGATAAACACGGTTTAATGTTTTTGATCTCTCGCTGCATTCTATTACCTGTGGACGACAGTTTGGATTGCTTTCCATGACACTTGTATTTTCGACTTTAGAAAGCATGACATCAGATACTGACGTAGTGGGAGCAGAGTATTCATTATTGACATCTTCATATGTAATACATAAATCTTTAGCAGTTTGAAAGTACAAGAAGGAATCTGAATTAACTCTTTCTCTAACTTAGGAATATTGATTCCAGCAATTAGACGATCACGTAGTTGAGTATGCAGCTGATCTCCAAAGTTACACTTTGAAGCTTGAATTTGAAGTTGAAGAATGAAGTCTCTAATCTTCTGGTTGGGAGCACGAACCAGTTTGTTGAATTGAGCCCTCTCTCTGTCTCAAAAGTAGTTATATGGAAGTGATCTATCAGAAGTTCACGGAGTTTATAATATGGCAGAGAAATGGTTTATCTGGAAACGACAGAGTCTTCACTAGGCTATACGCATCTAGCCCAATAGCAGTGATGAAATGTGCTGGTATTTTGTCATCCCGAACATTCTTTGAAATGCACCACGCATCGAAGCATTCAAATAATCAGCAATCTCCCGCGGAGAACCATTTATAGGAAATTTTCCCAGGTTATTTAGTTCCATCGCGACGCCAATTTGTTGTAATTTATTGTAATCGTAGTATTAGTATTTCGAGATGACCGAATTACAAGAATCCAAACAAAACACAGAGAGGGCGGAATTCAGGAATTTGTATTTAGCGGAATTATTTTCAATTCATATGAGAAATATTAACAATCAACAGTAAGTATTTAAACAATACAGAGATAGAAATAGTCAATCACACAGAATGGCGAGTGTAAGGCTGAAACATAGAAGTTAACTTATAATTATTTCATGTGTGTTGTCAAGTTTGAATGCTAAATTCCAATAAATGTGTCTTGATACTCATTATGATTTCGTTACGAATGGTCAGTTTCTTCATATGACATTCGATAGATCTTCTAGGCTACAAATAATATATATATATACGATCATGAT